AGGCTGAGGGGGAAACCAAGACACAAAAAATAACGTGTGCCAAGTAAATCATGAAAACTGAAGAAATAAGAGTGAACCATGGAAAGATCCATGACCTGGATGAAGAAACAGGCAAAGGACGTGCAACAGAGGACAAGCCCGGAGGTCGCGCATGAGAGCCCGCAGAGCCGCGGGGCACCACACGGCCGAGCGCTCCGCCTCAGCACGTTCCCAAGTGTATCACCACAGCCGACTCCAACTCCGGGACAATACAAGTGTTGGGTCTGTAGACAAATGGGACTCGGGTCACACTTCGGAAGAAGTAAATGTGCAAAAAGTTCTACCATCCGGGCACTAGAAGCGGAGGAAACCACTTTGTCCTGACAGAAATACCAGCCTGTACAGCACACAGTGAGACACGGGAAAACACACACGATGCTTTTCTGTGCAGTCTCTGTAGACATGGGGGAGATAGCTCAGCAGCACAGGCGCCTGCCTGGCAAGTGCAAGGGCCAGTCAGATCTCTCGTATGCAAAAATAACAATAATCATAATCATAATAGAGGACGCAGGTCGGCATCTGAATGTGCTCCAGGGACCTGCGACTCATGCCTCTGCTCGGAGGCTGTCACAGCACAGTGCAAGGGCAGCACACACTGAACACCACCCGGGGCCATGTCTGGGGATTCTCTGCCAAGACTTAAGTCTCTGAAAGCACAAGGACAAAAATAAAGCTGGATGTAGTGGCACAGGCCTGGAACCCTAACACTTAGGAGGCTGAGGCAGGAGCACTGCCGTGAGTTTGAGGCCAGCGGGGTACACGGGGAGTACAAGGTGAGCCAGGACTATACAGTGACTTCTGGGTGAAAAAAATGAGAAGAGGGAGGAAAGGATGAGGAGGATGAAGGAGAAAAAGAAGGTGGGAGAGGAGGAGGAAGAGGAGGAGGAGGAGGAGAAGGAAGTGGGAGGAAGAGGAGGAGGAAGGAGGACAAGGAGGTGGGGGAGCACGAGAGGGACGAGCTGCAGGGCTGGGGAGAAGCCCAGTGGTCTAAAGTGCCTGCTCAGGCAAGCTTAGGCAGGTGCAGGGGACTGAGGTTTGATCCCCGGCATCACATGCCACGCCAGCCCGGCCCTCAGGGTCGGCTGAGCTGGCATCAAATAAAGATAAATAAAACAAAATAAACTGTATATGGTAACAAAACAGTTTAGAAGCTGGGCATGGTGGGGAGGTGGGCTGTAATCCCATCGCTGGGGAGACTGAGGCAGGAGCACTACCGCAGGGCGCTGCATGGCTGTGCTACAGATCAGCATGGCCCCAGCCCACAGCAAGACCCGGTCTCAGAATGCAAGAAACAAGCTCCAGGTTTAGGCACCTGAGCTTCCAGTGGTCACGTTCAGTGGAGAGTCACCTGTGATCAGTGGCCACGAATACCTGAGCCAGTAGCTCACTTTGGTCCTCTCAGCAGCCCTGGACTCAGCAGCAAGCCCCTCTCTTGGAAACTGATCCCAGTGGAAGGGCAGGAGGGGGCCTCACTGTCTAAAGCAGCCCAGCTACCTCAGGCTTGAGAGAAACGGTCTGCAGAGAAACATGCAGCCGGGACCTCGGGGGCTATTAGTCGCTAGGCAACCGTGCGCGTAGTATTTTTGCAAAGGTAAAAATAAAGGCCACTACCACGGTTGCTGTTGGTGGGGGGGGGGGCGTCCTTCCACCAACCAGGCAGATGGCCACCACCTGATCCAGCTTTCCTGTTGTCGAACTTTTACTTCCCGCTGCCACTTCTCCCTGGAGTAAAATGGATCACAGCTCCACACCGACACCGTGACTCAGGATGCTTTCTTTCT